GAGGGTGAGGCCCTCTAGGACTATCTCTGCCCACTGGAAAAGGCTAACTTGTAAAGGGTAACAGTACATCTACAAGGCCACCCACACGTGTGGAGAGAGAAGAATTTATGAGAGGTCAGTGTTCTTTTTCCACTTGTCCTGCATAGATTACTGGTGGCAGGTGGTGGGTGGGTGTTGAGGGGGTGGAGTAGGGAGTGGAGAGTAAGCTATTGGCCAGGCTCTTTCAGGACCAGATTTCTTTGGGAGAAAGTTTGGGCATAGGGAAAACGTAACCAGGTTTCAATTTTTACTCTTTGTAAAGTGCTTTGGGATCCTTCTGCAAAACAAAGCATGTTTTACACTTGCCTGATCTTTAAAATCAAAAGGTGCCATTTCCTTCTCTTTCCCAATTATTGCATCGAATATTAGGTGGGGTAGGGAAGTGAAGGTAACCTTCCTCCTTAAGGATTCGATTCTTCCACGAAGTGGGTCATAATCATTAAGCCAAATCCATGCTTCCAAAACCTTTTGACTCATTTTGCCCTCGGAGATTACCTCCCACATACTTTTCATCTATCTTTTTTCTTACTTTATTATTTGAAAAGAAAAAAACAAACATTTCACTTCCTCCATTAGATTATGGGCTCCTTGAGAGAAGGGTCTGTCTTTCTTCTTATCCCTAAAACTTAGTACCTTACTAACTCCAGTACCTGGCAAGGTAAGTACTTAATAAATGCTTAGAGACTAGCTCCTCCCTTCAGTCATAAACCAGCATCAGGTCAGTAAAGAGTGATATAAGACACCAGGTGCCTCCTGCATTTTCTAGGTTGCCCTTTCTCACACAAGTGAGGGTGATGGGAAATTCATTTGTTCTCAGAGGTTGGGTATTCCTCAGACAAACTTGAGCTCTTCTTGACCAAAGAGGCAAGAGGGAGTTAAAAGCTGTGATAGCTCCCTTATCCTTCAACTATACTGTAAGCTCCTATATGATTAGGGCTCATGTTGCTTTACTTCTTTTGTATTCCATGGTGCTCAGCACTGGTACTTAGCAAATGGTTGTAAATAACTCAGGAAGGTTCTCACAAGGGGTGATCTTGGCCAAAGCCAACTTAGTCAGAACTGTGCTGCAAAGGAAGATCAGGACAAGATGTTTTGCCTGGAGAAAATCAGTGTTGTTATTATGAGTGACATATTAAATTAACCTGGGCATTCAAGACCCATTCGTTGTTGTTGTCATCATTGTTTCTGAAAGAGGTTCAAAGAGCAAAAAAATTTTGGACTACTGATCTAGTCCCACCAACTCATTTTACAGATGACAAACCTGAGGCCTATCAAAGGTATGTGACTTATACAGGTAAAATAGCATAAAGAATATTCTAAACTTAGGCTTTCTCACTTCAAATCCAGTATTCTTTGTAGAGTTATGGCTGCCCCTCCAAGGTGAAGGCTAGATGCCACCTGATGACTTTTCCAACTCTAAAATGCTATAATTCTATACACAGTGATTTGGGGTATGATCCATTACAAAGTCACTGTCAAGTCCCACTAATTGGAATGAAGGCCAGTATGAATCAGTAGATTATGAAATAGAGAATATTTTCTAAAGGAATGAAGTACTCTTGCTTTACTTTTGAGGAATAGGTCTACAAACAGCTAGAAGTAACTTGTAGACCTTTTTTTTTGTTTTCCAGACACAGCATAATGATTTATACTTAGCATATGTACTTTAAAAATGTAAATGATGTCTCTAAAGCACAGGATAAAGTTCTTTTTTAATTAATTAAATGGGCTTCCATCAATCTTTTAAAAAATGCTATCCAAAGAATCATGGGACCAAAAAATGTCTGAGCAGGAAGGGACCTCAGAGAGCATCTGGTTAAGATTCTTTTTATATGTAAGGAAAGCAGCAACGGAGTGCAGTGGGGTGGCAGGAGGGGTAGGTGCTAAGTAATCTGTGGAAAGTCAGGCACATCATTAGTAATAGTCACTAATTTTTCTCATAGATTTTGTGAAGGTAAACAGCTCAGTCTTAGGCTGGATTATTACTAATTCCAAATTTGGGCTTTCTGAATTATTGACATTGTACTTCTTTTATTGTATAATTCTCTCTTGGGCTAGCATTCCCTGATTTTTCTAGGAAGGATGGAGAAAAAGATAGTTTCTGCTGATTAGAGAACATTCTACAAGCAGTTGCTGGTGAGAAATTTGCTTTGGGTTCATATAAGCCTTGAATATCATTCAGTTAATTTAAAAAAAATACTGGAACCCACTTTACTATATATTAAAAAAAAAAGCCCCAAACTCACCAATGCCCATCCCCATCCCCACATACTTCACATGAGTTGTTGACTGGACAACAGCTTACGTGAAAATGACCTGTAGGTTTTAATGGAATCCAGATTGAATCTGCCTCAAGAAAGTGATATAAAGGTCCAGAAAAGATAGTTTAATCTTGGGCTGCAGGAAAGAGAGGTGTGTCTAGAGTGAGGGAGGAGTTTGTCTTATTGTCCCATTGTCTCAAGACCCAGTTCAAATCCCAGGAACTTTTTACAAGTCTATGAAACTGCTAGGACCTTCCCACTCTGAAATTCTTTCATCTGCTCTTTATATATCTTGTATGTAAGTATTTATTTACATGTTATTTCCACCATTAGGATGTAAATTCCTTGAGGACAAGGTCTATTTTTGTTTTTCTTCATACCCACATCATTTAGCACAATGCCTGGCAAAATACTTAATAAATGTTTGTGGCTTGATTGACATGTATTGGGTGGGCCACATTGGAGTGTTTCTTTTAGCGCTGGGGTCCACCGAAATTCTGAGGAGGGTAATCAAACTGTGTCATATAAGAAGCAGCTCAAGAGAACTAGGGATGTTCAGCCTGGACAAGAGATAGCTTGTGGTGTGGGGGAGAAGGAGAGAAAGGGCATTTTTTGTAGCTCTACAATGTGGGGCACAGGCAGTGTGGTAGGATGATAGTAGGGTAGATGGGGGGGTGCAGAGTCAGAAGATCTGGGTTCAAATCACTTGGTTCTGCTATTTATCCCCTTTGTGACCTCAATCTCTAGGCCTCATCTATTAAGATGTACAGATTGGACATTATGATTTCTGGATATCCTTCCAGCTCTAAATGCTATGATCCTTCAGGGAAGCAGATTTAGTTCATTATGTAGAAGAGCTTCCTAATAGCTAGAATTGTCCAAAAGGGGAATGAGCTGCCTCCAGAGGTAGTGAGTGTCCCAGCATCGCAGGTCTTCAAAAGAAGGGTGGAGGACTACTTGTTGGCAATATTGCAGAGAAAATTTTTGCTTACAGGAAAGGCTGGGCTAGATGCCACCTGATGACTTTTCCAACTCTAAAATGCTATAATTCTATACACAGTGATAATATATAACCTTCAATTATCCAGACTAATAAATGGGAACCTGTGGTGTGGATGATTCACAACAATTCCCTTCCCCTCCAAATGTCAATTGTATTTGACTGAGTTATTTTTTCATCCTAGAGATTTTTAAGCTTCTCACTTGGTTCAGGCTAACATTAAGATGAATTTGCCTTAAAACTCTAAGTGTAGAGGTGTGGAGCATCTGGAACATTTCTAGGGTGAGGCAGGTGGGAGGAGGGAGATGGATATGGGATCAGGCATTATAGTTGATCCACTAAATAAGTCAGCAGTCCCAAGAATGGAGTATACCTGCAGATTCTAGATGAGTGGCATAGTGTTCTAGAAAGAACATGAAATTGGGCATCAGGAGACTTGCCTAGGAGTCCCACTTGAAGTGCTAATTTACTGTGTGATCCTGGACAAGTTGCTTCATGCTTTCAGGCCTCAGTTTGTTGATCTGTAAAATGAGGGCTTGAGTTTGGTGGTGTCTAAGTTTTCCTCCAACTCTAAAATTTTCTCTTTTTATATATACATAATCTGTACCCTGACAAATAGAAATCACATATTTACATCCCTAGAAGCAGGGAAGACTGAGAATAGTGACTTAGAATCATATTATCTTTTTGAGTTTCACCAAGAAGATTTCAAAGCAGTATGCTGTTAATGGGAGGCTAGCGTTGTTGTCAGGAAGACCTGAATTCAAGTCTAGCCATTAAAGAATATTGGCTGTGCTGACCTTAGACAAATCACTTAATCTCTCGATGCCTCAGGCAACTCTCTAAGACTATACCTTATTGAAAACGTACTGATTGGCATTGGTGGATGGAGTTTCCTTCTTGGGAGTTCCCCATGCTAATTAAATCAGAGATATGATCCCAAAGGGGAGAGAATACAGATTAAGTTACAGAGGCAGTGTGATACAGAGGAAAGAACATTAAAGTCAGAGAACATGGGTTCAAATCCCAATCCTGAGACTTACTCCCTGTGTGACCCTGGGCAAGTCACTTAACCTCTTTGTGCTTCAGTTTCCTTACCTGTAAAATGGGGAAAATAATAGCACCTACTTCACAGAGTTGTTGTGAGGATCAGATGAGAGGATAGATTTAGAGTGCTTTGCAAACAGTTAAGGTCAGTGAGAGGCAATGAGATGCAGTGAATACAGAGCAGATCTTGAAGCCAAGAAGACCTGGGTTCAAGTCTTACTTCTGATTCATCCTAGCTATGTGAACCTGGGTAAGTCACTTCACTTTTCAGTGATTTCGGCAACTATTTAAATTGCAGAGAAGGTGCCAACCTACGTTGTTAGAGGGAGTTTCCTGACCTGAGAGTTCCCTGTATCAATAGACTCACAGGTCCAGTCCCCATCCCTTAGCAAAGCTTAAAGTACAATATAAATGTTAACTACTATTACTATTATTTAGCCATCTCCCTGGGCCTTGAGATGATTTATAACCCATTTTCATGTCCAGATTTTGAGTTAGGGACTTACTGAATGATCAGAAAGGCATTTGGGAAATGAGTCCAGAGGATACATCTCAGGATGCACAGGGCCTGGAAAGCATCCTGGCCACTGCTCTGGGTTCAGATTATGGGCACATGGCACAGAAAGAAGCAAAAAGTACAGTAATCTTCCAACTAGGAAAAATGTAAGCATTCAAAATGGCTCATTTGGGCCTTACAAAACACACCTGGGTTTGAAAAGGTCAAGTTGAGCTGTCTGAGGCCATCCTATGAACTAGAACATTCAGAGAACCCCACTTTACTCTGTGCCCTGTGGACAATGCCTCAGTCTCCTTCTCCAACCCTTCTTGAGGTTCTAGTTCCTTCAATGGCTCATGGATAGTAGGGATGGGATGAGAAGCCCAATGTTTCAGTGGGAAGAGTGTTGGCTTTGGAGTCAGGTGACCTGGCTTTGCTATTTACTACCTGTAGGATCTTGGGCCTTACTGGGTCAGTTTCTTCATCCATGCAATGAGGGGTGGGGTGGGGTGGACTAGATGACCTCTAAGTTCCCATCCAGCTCTGGATCTGGGATACTATGATCTTGCCTTCTCCTCTCCTCTACTGTCTTAGCTCAATTCACCACAAGATGGAAGCCCTAGGACCTGGCCCTATAGCATATTCTTAGGCTGACAACCAGATGGCATCTAGATGTTTGAGGCTGTCCCACAGGCAAAGGTATCGTCTAACAAGCAGCAGAACCATAAATTTACACCATAGCTGGCTCTGTTCAGGTGTCTGTGGGGAACACTGCCACGTCAACCCCTAACTCTCCCTGAAACAAAAGACAGTAGCTAAATTCCACTCTAAGGACCTGGTGACCACTAACTTTTCTAACTTTTAAAATTCCTATCTTTTTTGAAAATGAACTGGGGAGATGAAGTAGGAATTGGGATTAAGATGAGAAAATGGCAATGGTGGATGGTATGAGGAAAGAAGTGGTCCAGATCCCTAAAGCATGCTACTAAATATTTCTGATACTGGAGAGGTGGTCTGGTCCCCTGGGCTGACCTCCTGGTTCTTAGGCCTTTGCGTATCACCCTGGTCTCCTGGAGGGGAGCTGAGTCCAACCCATGGCTTATCATCATTCACCAGGGCTGTGGGGTAAGGTTCCACGTAAATGCGTCGGACCATTGGTCGCATGTCCTGGTACTTCGTTTTCTTCTCTTCAGGGAGGCTTGAGGTATGGGGTAGGAGTAGACCCCGATGCCTTTCAGTGGGGATGCTGATCTGCTTTGCCTCAGTGGTCTCCTGGGACAAGTCTGCAGCCCGGGAGAGGTGCTGCTTGTAGACTCCCTCAGAAAGGGACAGAGACTGTGTTTCACTGTGGATTCGGAGCCAGCGGTGGTGACGACTGAAGTAGCCATAGTGCTGGTGTTTACTCAGCTTCTTCCTCCCCAAGAAGCTCACCGGCTGTTGGGAGCTGCCCACCATCTTATCAGGGCTCTTGGCCATGAAGCCTGAGAGTGTCAGGCTGTTGAAATACTCAGCACAGGAATGGTCGGTATCTGGCCCCAAGGTCTGGCCCTGGGTGTCCCCCCTCAAGGCCATGCAGGGCTTCATATCATGCACCTGTAAGACATCAGGGGCACTGCCACTCATGCCACTCATGGCCTGATGGGAAATGTCATGGGATGACATGTAGACCAAGTCCAATTCTCGGGGGCTAAGGGCATCACTGGAATCATAGTCACTATCCGTGGGGAGAAATACCTCAGAGCAGCCTTCTTCATCTGAACAGGGCTGGGAGTCTGGAAAGAACAGAGACTATAATTAGAAAATAAAAGTCTTTCAAATGTGAAACTCAGAAACCCATGTTCTCCATCCCTGCACTAGATTAATCAGAGGGAAGGTTATGATAAACTTTTCAGTGCTGCAGAAGGCAGGCTTCTAAAACTGACTTTGTAATCCCTTGTGCAGTCCTCTATAACAAAAATACAGTGAGAAGATCAGATGATATGAGAAATGTTTTCTTTTTGTTTTAATTTTAATTTGCATTTGTTGCTATCTTTTGTTTTCATATTGTCTTTATTTTAGAATACAGTTATCCCTTCCATATCATGACTTTACCCATTGTAGTTTCAATACATAGTGGGTCGGCATAAGAACTTAAATGGGGGTTTTGGGGGAGTGTTGTGGAAGCTGCAGAAGGCCAGCAGACGACGCAGAAAAAGTTCAGAAGCTCAGAAATGCATAAAATATTCATAGTATTGTATAATATCACCATAGTTTTAATGCCATAATAATTCAGACTTCTTCTCTGGTATGACGGGAGGGCCAAAAATTTTTATGCAGATTTTTCCAGATCATGGTGGTGCTGTGACCCCAACCCATGTAGTATGGAAGGGATAGCTGTGTATCTTTCCCTATTCTGTCCATGGAGAACCATCTCTTAAAGAATGAAAAAGAAAGAGGAAAAAAAAAAGAGTTCAGGGTAACTAACCAATCAGCACTTTAACCAAGCCTGACGGTGTAGGCCGTGCTTCACATCTATGGCCCCAGCCTCTGCAAAGAAGAGAGGGAGGCCTGCTTGTTTTCTCAACATAATCACCCATTTATGTCTCTCTCTCCCAACTAGATTGTAAGTGTTGAGGGCAGTGGTCATGTTTTATTTAACTTTGTCTATGTGCCTCACACACAGTAGGTCCTCAGTAAATACTGATTGATTTGTCCAGGTGACAGTGCCTTGAATATTACTAATAATTTAAAATATTAACTATTGCTCTTTGAAGGCAGCATGACATAACAGATGGAGGGTTGTCCTTAGAGCCATTGGGTTGGCGTAGAATGGATCAGAGGGTCAGAGCTGGAAGAGACATTGGAAGCCATCTGATAAAATCTCTTCATTTTATGGGGGAGGAATGGGGACACTAGTGGTATAGTGACTTCTACAAGGCCATATAGGACAGTGGCAGAGGCAGGTCAAAAACCCAAATCTTCTGACTCCAAAGCCGTCACCCTTTCCATTGTACCACACTGCCAGAACTAGGCCAAGAAGAACCAGAGTTCAAATGTTCTTTCTGTCATCTATCACTTGTAGGGTGGGGCAGCTTGGTCTTTGTAAATGGAAGAGCTGGGTTCAGATCCTGCCTCTAATATGCTGTGATCTTGAATAAGTGGTTTGCCCAAGGTAATACAGTCAGTAATTGTCAGAGGTGAGACTTGAAGCCAGGTTGTCCTGGTTCTTTTATACCACACTGTCTCTCCAAGAGTTATGTACTATTAAGCACTCAGTAGGACTCCTGTCTGATGAGAAGGATGAACCTTGCTACCTTCTCCCACCCCTAGAAGTGGCCTAAAGCTGATGGGTTGAAAAAGTCAATCTATCTTGCTCCCTGTGTCCTTTTCCAACAGACAGCTTCACATAGGCAATAGAGAGCTAGCCTCACAGTCAAGAAGCTAGGTGGCTTCACAGTGCACAGAGCAATGGGCCTGGAGTCAGGAGGACTCCTGTTCCTGAGTTCAAATATGGCCTCCGACTCTTATTAGCTGTGTGAACCTAAGCAAGTCACTTAACCCTCTTTGCCTCAGTTTCCTCATCTGTAAAATGAGCTGGAGAAGGAAAAGGCAAACCACTCCAGTTTTTTTGCTAAGAAAACCCCAAATGGGATCAGAAAGAGTCAGATGTGATTGAACAACAAGGACTTCTTGTTGTCAGAATTATTGTACCTCTTGGTGATGATGGAAGATACCCAAGTCCTTTGCTTCTCATTGCCCAGCTGTGAACTCTGAAGCAACAATTTAGAACTTTAAGTAGTGACTGCACAAACACTTGTTAAACATTTACTGTGTGCTAGGTAATCTGGGGATACGATAATCTATAGTAGTAGGTCCCTTTGCCTTCAGACAGCTTATTAAGGTCTGGTAGGTCCGTTGCAGTTCCAGCAGTGATTTACTACATGTGTTTGGTACTTTAGGGTTTCAATGTGCTTCCCCTGTTTTTTAAGAGATGATGAGCAGGCTGATTTAAAAAAAAAAAAACATGGAAAGACTGGCATGAAATAACTAAGAGTGAAATGAGTAAAACCAAGAGAATGTTGTATACAATAACAGCAATATTGTTCAAAAAATAACTGTGAACAACTAAGCTATTCTGAGTATTATAAATATTCCAATCACCTACAAAGGACCTAATGAAGGAAGATGCTGTCCACTTCCAGAGAAAGAACTGATCAGTAGAAATGGTTTGTTTTTACCTCTCTCTCCCCCACCCTCTCCCTCTCTCCCTCTCTTTGTCTCTCTCTTTCTCTGTCTCTGTGAAATGGTGACCTTCTCTAGTGTGGGGTGGAGAGACAGAGAGAGTTCAGAACTTCAAATGGAACAAAAAATAAAAATTAAATAAATAAAATTAAAAATTATATTAAAAAAACTAAAAAAAAATCAAAGTACTTTCCCACACATGACTTCACTTGATCTCCATGGTTGGTATTATTATTGCTATTTTACAGGTGCATAAACTGAGTCTCAGAGAAGTCTTCACACTTTTATAAATATTACGTTGGGGGGAACATCCTTAGTTATGATCTTTATTAATTTATGTAATAAATAGATCATAGCTTTAGAGCTGGAAGTCAAGTCAACAAACATTTATTAAGTTCACTATGGGTAAGGCGTTGTGCTGAGCACTGGAGGTAAAAAGAAAGGCAAAAATAGTCATCTCTTTCAAAGAACTGACCATCTAATAGATACTAGAAGGAACCTTAGTGGCCACCCGGCTCATTTTACAGAAGTAGGAAACTGAGTTTCAGAGAGGTTAAGTGATCACACAGCTAGTAAGAGGGGGGATCTAAGAGGGGATTTGAGCCTGGGTCTTCCTAACTCCTGGTCTGGTGCCCTACCTACTATGCTACACTGCCTCTCATTTTGCAGAACAGAAATAAGGGCTGGAGAGATTATGCAACGATCCTGCTCAGAGTCACACACCAAGTCAGTGGCAGAAAATGGACAAGAAACCCCTTGACACTTAGCCTGGAGCGCTTTCTGTGAAGTGACCCAGCTCTGCCCGGGGTGGTGGAGCCTGCCCTGACACCCAGAACTCAAGAGCCTAGATTTTCTTTTCCATTGAATGATGGCTATACTCCAGTGTTGGAGATGGGTATTGTTTTCTTCAACAGAGCTGGGATTTCATCGGTGTAGTTCGCAAAACTCTCTCTACCGATACAGAACTGCAACCATTTTTGCCATTTTTGGTCTTAGAGAGCTGACTTGTCCAAGATCACACAGCCTCTATGTGTTGGAGGAGGGACTTGAATAACTATAGCTAACATTTATATGGCACTTATGTGCCAGGCACTGTGTTAAACCTGTCCTTTGCCTCCCCCTCCCCCTGCTCTACTAGCAGCCACAGCTACTGAGGAACCAGAAAAGAAAGTTATCATCAGCAAAGTTCTTGGCACGGTGAAGTGGCTCAGTGTCCTGGTTTCTAATCAGTGGAAATAACATGAAAGAAGATGCATTCCCACCTGCTTTGCCATCACACCCTAAGGACCATGGGGCTTTTCCATCTGATGTCCTGATGAAACCTCTTAGATGTATTGTCTCCCTCCGGTAGAATATCAGCTCCTTGAGAACAAGGGTTGTCTTTCTTTATTATTTGTAACTCCAGCACTCAGTATAGTGCTTGACACATAATAAGGATTCATACATACTTTCATTCATTCATTTACTATACTAAGGACCTTCCAAAAGGAAATTTCTGGAAAGCAGACCAATAGACTGCATTGAAACAGAACCTAGGTTGTGCAGTGCAAGCCTGAGTGCTTGCTGTTAATGCTATTGAGACGTTTCAGTTCGGTCTGACTCTTCATAACCCTGTTTTGGGTTTTCTTGGCAAAGATACTGGAATGGTTTGCCATTTCCTTCTCCAGCTCATTTTATAGATGAGGAACTGAGGCAAACAAGGTTAAATGACTTGCCAAGGGTCACACAGCTAGTAGCTCATGAAGGTGAATCTTCCTGATTCCAGGCCCAGGGCTCTCTCCACTTGCCACCTGGCTTGCCATCAATGGCAGAGCTGAATGATGTTTTCCTCTTGTATAAGTTGATAATGAAACCCTATGCGAATTAAAAGCGCCTCCTGGCTTGGGTGGTCATTTTTGTTGGAGGACTTAGTAAAGGTCGTCTCTGAAGAAGGTTGACCATGTCCTCATGAAGCCTGTCCACTAGGTGGAGGTTCTAGGATTTAGGTCATTGTTGATCCTTCCTTTGTGGGAAAGATTGCAAAGTACAAGATATATTGAAAAGTAAACACAAGGTATTGAAAAGCATTAGGGCATAATGGCTAGAGTGATGGACTTGGCAGTCAGGAAGACAAACCTGGATTTTAATCTGGCCTCAGACAATTCCCAGACTAGTTCGTGACCCTGGGCAAGTCAATGTCTCAGCTCAGTGTCCTCATCAGTAAAATGGGGACAATGGTAGGTGCTATTGCACCTACTTTGGATAGCTGTGACCATCATACTAGAAAATATGTACACATGTTATATATGTATGTGTATATATCACTTTGAAGATCTTAAAGTACTAAGTAAATGCTACCTCCTACACGAAAGCTTCCTGATCACTTTTTCCCACTCCCCCATCTGCTAGTGCCTTCTCTGGAAATATCCCAGCATTTCCTTTTCATTTAATTATATGTGCAACTCCCCTCCAATAGAATGCATGCTCCTTGAGGGCTGGGTTCCATGTTTGCCCTTTTTTTTTTTTATTATTCAGCACAGTACCTGGCACATAGTGGTTACTTAATAAAGGCTTGTTGATTGATTAAATGGAGGGATGGTGATTGCTTACTCTTTAAATTTAATAATAAGATCTGAATGTAATTGACTGGATTATTCAGCCAGCATCACAGTTTGGTGCTTTTTCTGAGAGGAGGACAAAGGGACTACATTTGCACAGCGAAACAAGGATCTTTCTCATGCTACATCCTGTCCCCAAATTAGTATGCCAGCATCCACTCTGGCTAAGAGAAGAGCAAAAACCTGGTAGGTCCTGTCATCAGAGAGGGTGGGATATAAGAATATGCATCCTTAAATGAACAATAGAATTTGGAACTGAAAGGGAACTTAGAGATCATCTAGTCTAGTTCTCTCATTTGACGGATAGAGAAACTGAGGTCCAGAAAGCCTGGCCCAAGGCCACACAGTGAATTAAAGGAAGAACTGGAACAAGATCCCTGTCTCTTGACTTTTCATTCCAATGTTCTATGCTGTCTATTATAATTATGAGAATTGTGGAAAAATTCAGGTAATCTCTTCCCTACACACCTATTATTTCATTCCTTAGCTTTAAACATTTGGCTCAGATATACATGTCTATGTCTCTGTCTATGCCTATGTCTGTGTCTGTGTCTATGTCTGTGTCTGTGTCTATATCTATGTCTATGTCTATGTCTGTGTCTATGTGTATGTGTATGTGTATGTGTCTGTGTATGTGTATGTGTATGTGTATGTGTATGTCTATGTCTATGTTTATGTCTAGGTCTGTGTCTGTGGCTGTGCCTAAGTTTAGGTCTATATCTGTGTCTATGTCTATGTCTGTGTCTGTGTCTGTGCCTAGGTTTAGGTCTATGTCTCTGTCTGTGTCTGTGTCTGTGTCTGTGTCTGTGTCTATATCTATGTCTGTGTCTATGTCTATGTCTATGTTTATGTCTAGGTCTGTGTCTGTGTCTGTGTCTGTGTCTATGTCTGTGTCTATGTCTATGTCTATGTCTATGTCTGTGTCTATGTCTATGTCTATGTCTGTCTGTGTCTGTGTCTGTGCCTAGGTTTAGGTCTATGTCTATGTCTATGTCTGTGTCTGTGTCTGTGTCTGTGTCTGTGTCTGTGTCTGTGTCTATGTCTATGTCTATGTCTATGTCTATGTCTACGTTTGTGTCTATGTCTATGTCTATGTCTATGTTTATGTCTAGGTCTGTGTCTGTGTCTGTGTCTATGTCTGTATCTAGGTTTAGGTCTATGTCTGTGTCTATGTCTGTGTCTGTGCCTAGGTTTAGGTCTATGTCTATGTCTGTGCCTGTGTCTGTGTCTGTGTCTGTGTCTGTGTCTGTGTCTATGTCTATGTCTATGTCTATGTCTATGTCTATGTCTATGTCTATGTCTATGTCTATGTCTTTGTCTACGTCTACGTCTATGTCTATGTCTATGTCTATGTCTATGTCTATGTCTATGTCTATGTCTGTGTCTGTGTCTATGTCTTTGTCTATGTCTATGTCTATGTCTATGTCTATGTCTGTACCTAGGTTTAGTTCTATGTCTGTGTCTGTGTCTGCGTCTATGTCTATGTCTATGTCTATGTCTATGTCTATGTCTATGTCTATGTCTATGTCTATGTCTATGTCTATGTCTATGTCTATGTCTATGTCTATGTCTATGTCTATGTCTATGTTTATGTCTAGGTCTGTGTCTGTGTCTGTGTCTATGTCTGTATCTAGGTTTAAGTCTATGTCTGTGTCTGTGTCTATATCTGTGTCTGTGTCTGTGTCTGTGTCTATGTCTATGTCTGTGTCTGTGTCTGTGTCTATGTCTGTGTCTGTTTCTGTGTTTAGGTTTAGGTCTATGTCTATGCCTATATCTAGGTTTAGATCTAGGTCCAAGTCTTGTCTCAATCTCAGTTGATGTTGATAATAATATCTATGTATATATAATGTACACACATATGATACAATGCACCATGTATGTGATATAAATGTATGTGATGTGTATGTATATGTCCATGCACATGTAGATGTGTATTATATAAGTTGGTATGTTTGCACACATTTATATACATACACATATGTATATATGCATAGGTCTATGTGCCTGTGTAGATATTAAGAAGCTATGTATACACACAATGTATATATACCTGTGTATATATTGTGCAAGTATATATCTATATCTATACATTTGATTCAATCTTCAAAGAGTATGTGAAAAAATCAAAGTTTTTTGTAAGTCCAATCCTAGATAGACCAGAATCCTACTTTCCCAAGGACCTGATTTCAGAGCTAACATGAGGGTGGTTTCTGATGGGTCTTCCACTGTTGTATACAGTCATTGTAAAGAGCTTCCTACTCCTTCTCCTTAACCTTTAAGAAAATCTCCTTGTCGTTAGCATTAGTTCTGATGAAAAGCTGAACTGACCTGGCTAAGGATAAGCACCTCAAGCACACCTCACTTCACCAGGATCCTGAGAGCAGGAACTGGTACATTTCCATCTCTCTGTCCTCAGAGCCTAGTACAGTGCCTAGAACATAGGAAACACTTGAAAGATTGTTGAATGGACTTGACTGTAACTTTAAATCAATCCAGTTCAAATTAATAGGTATTGATTCAGTATCTACTAAATATGAGATACTTTCATTAGGTGCTAATCATACAAAGACAAAAGGAAAAACAGTTTCTGCTCTCAGAGTACTTACAATCTATCCTATTGGGGGATATAACAGATAAGCAGATAAGTACATACCTTATGATTTGAAGAAGAGGGAGAGACGACTAAATAGCTGGGAGACCAGGAAAGGCTGTCTCTATCTATTGGGTCAAAGAGCTAATGTAAACAAATCCTTAAAACAAGCGAGAAAAATTCTCTCCTTTGAACAAATTTTGTGGTGAATTTGCTGGGTGCCCTCGGGCAAATCATTTCATCTCCCCAGGCCTATTTCTTCCTCTCTAAAATGAGGGGTTTGGAGTAGATGGAATCTAAGGCTCTTTCCAAGTCTAGTGGTCTATGATTCTAAGCAGCAGATGGATTTGTACCCCTCTAGTATGGGAATGCTTTGGAAAGCCTCAGGCCAACTCCCTTACTGGAGAAGGGACAATACATACTTGCCAAGGACCCTAAATTTGTTCTGTGCACAGTAGGACTTTCATGGTTTTAGTTTATACTAGGTACTTTTGGGACATCTGTTTCATAGCAAGTGCCACAAAAACTTTGCACCCAGTTGCCCAAGACAGGAGAATTTTGGGCCAAGGCTAAGGAAGTTAGAAAAAATGTACAGATTGAAGTTGCTGTTTCTTACCACTTACTGCCTTTCTCCTCTGGGTCTCTGGGGATGGGGATGGGGATGGAAGACAGTCTATAGGTGAAGATGTTGAATTGACCTTCTTTTCATTCTGCTCATTGGAGGAGTCGATCAGTTTCATGATGGGCAAGCAGGTCCCTGGCTGTTTGTACCTTGCATACTGGAGTGCATCTGTGATCCATCTCATTTCACGCCAAATTTCATCTATTTGCTTTGGAACAGAATCATAGAAGACAGTGAGTTATCAAATGCATTCCAGAAAGCTATGTTTTTATCTTTAATTTCAAAACTGTGAATTTCCCAAAGTATTGGTTTTGAATTCGTGTTAAATATACAGAGAACCAGTTAGCTAAGGAAGAAAGTTACACTTATTTCTGACCTTTTAGCAATTGAAAGATCTAGGTTACTGTCTTTGCCTTTCTGATGACTAGTTTTGTCCTTTAACAAGTCACCTCAACCTCTCTGGGCCTCAGTTTCCTCATTTCTTTTTTTTTAATTTCTTTTTTAATTTTTTTTTTTATTTTTAGGCAATTGGGGCTAAGTGACTTGCCCGAGGTCACACAGCTAGTAAGTGTCAAGTGTTTGGTCTGAGACCGGATTTGAACTCAGGTCCTTCTGATTTCAGGGCCAGTGCTCTCTCCACTGCGCCACCTAGCTGCCCCTCCTCATTTCTTAAAGGATGAAATTTAACCAGAGTATCACCAAGGTTCTTCCTAGTTCCTTATGAAGTCCTTGAGAGCAGGCACTCTTTTGTACCTTTCTCTGTATCCTCAGTGCTTTGTATGATGTCTGGCATGTGATAGGCACTTAATAAATGTTTGTTGACTTGACTTGATGATTTTTTATTCTATGGATCTAAATCTTGCATTTAAAGCAGTTGGTTATATTGGGTTTTCTGAGAGCCAAGACGTCAGTGATGCTAGATTGATGTCCCTTTATTTCCAGTTTATGCCTGCGTGCTGATGGGTATCAGAGTGAGAGAAATATCATATGATCACAGGTTTGGGGTTGCAAGTGAATTTAGCAATTATCTAGTCCAGGGTTCCTTAACCTTTTTGTGTCATAGGCCCTCTTTGGTGCTCTGCCGAAACCTATGCATGCCCTTTCAGAATAATGCATAAAAAATATAGGATCACAAAGGAAGTCAGTAATACTGAAATTCAATTAACAAATCATTCTTTTAAAAGTTCATGGGCCATTTTAAAGATGAGAAAACTGAAGCCCAAGGAGGTTCAAGATCTCACAAGGCATCAACATAAGAGAAGGGGTTCCTTCGGGACTTCTGATTCCAGATCCAGCTCTCAGGGCTTGAAGGTAAGGAAATATGAAATGTTACATTTTAGTTTCAAAATCCCCTCCCTCAAAAGCACACTCTTCTCCATGTCTACCCTTAACAAATACTCAGACCATTGGAAGCAGTGTGGTAAAAAGAACCCCAGATTTGCAGCTAGGTGATCAAGTCTGAATCCCATATACATATACTACATATGTGACCCTGGGCAAATCACTTAACCTCTCTATGACTCAGTTTCTTTACCTGTTAAATGAGTGACATGGACTAGACGCTCTCTAATTCACCAATAAATGTATCATTCTATGACCCACAGACATAAAGATTTTCCTCTACCGCTCTAAGGAAACATGAAACTATGCAGTTGTAGAGACTAGTTGATCAGGTACAAAGGGAAATCAGAGAATTAGCAACTACAGTTGGAGTTTGTGTTTCATAAAGTAGAAACAGGAAGCCAAGAGAACCTGGTGTCTTGCTCACTTCCTCCTTCCACCTCCTAAGTAGAATGGAAGCTCTTTGAGGGCAGGGACTTTTTCATTTATATCTTTGTACTTCTGGCAGCTAACACAATTCCTTGTATGTAGCATGTGCTTAATAACTGTATTGATTAAATACTTGTTAAAGTGAACATTCCTATCTTTGATATCTAGTCCATGATTTTCTGGCAGAGCTGCTGCATCCTCTGGTTTGCTAACATTGCAATTCCTCTCGGTTGGGTAGGTCTGTCCTCAGGGCTGGGTATGGAGGTCTTGGATCAGGAAATAGCAATCTTTCTTCTTGGGGGAGAGATGATACTAATCTTTCAGCTGCAGGAACTTCAAAGAGGTAGGTACAGCAAAGTAGGCCTACAGGGTTGAGGAACCTGTGGCCTTGAGGCCACATGTAGCCTTCTAAGTCCTCAAGGGTGGCCCTTTGACTGAACTCAAACTTCACAGAACAAGTCTCCTTAATAAAAAAAAAAATTGTTCTGCAAAACTTAGACTCAGTCAAAAGGCTTCACCCAAGGACCTAAAAGGCCACAGGTGGCCTCAAGGATGCAGGTTCCCCACCCCCAGCCTAGGGAGTTCACCAAGGGATTCACGGTAGGCCTCGGTGGGCTTTAACTTGTCTTCTCCGTAAAATGGGAGGTATGCGATACATAAGAGGTACTTAAATTTTTTTGGGGGAGGGGGTGTAAAGCCTATAGATGCTTTCTCAGAAGAATATTTTTATATGCATGAAATAAAACACATAGGATTGTGAAGTAAACCAATGATATTGAAATCAATCTATCTAAAAACCGAGTTCACGGACTCCAGACCCAATGATGTCAAAGACCTTTCTCAGCTAGACATTTGTGTTCCTAAGGTTGACTTTAATGTGACTTAGCTAAGTAGTTTTAAAAGACTCCCAATTTTCACCCATTTTGCCTTCTACTGTTGATCTAAAGGTAACTGACAACATAATCCTTTCTGGTCTTAAAGATCCAAATTCAACTGCTAAAGACTTGCTGACACATTAAAAAAAACAACAACTGAAAAAACTCAACCTGTAAGCTTCATGGATCTGTTTGTTACAATGCTCAGTACCCATTTCTTTTCACCCTGCCTTAAAAAAAAATCAGTTTTCAACTCATAAATTAATGCCCTCCCCCCACATTCCCACCACTGTACACAGGCAAGATATTATTTTTATTAAAACATAAGGGTGATCAGCTTTCTCACAACCTGGTTACAAGGTGCCCGTGGGGATGATAGATTGGTCATATTAAATGAGCTGGGTTTCTAATACAGCTTAAGAGCATTTGAAGCATTACAGTATATAAATTATATCCTAATTGCCATTTCAGCTTCAGTAGCTCCAGAATATGCCAAGCTGGAGGCCTTGACAATTTCTGCTCTGGGTGGGCTGTTTGGAGAGTCCGCAGACCTTATCTGTGATTTTCTACACTACCCCTGTTCCCCTCCTTTCTGGCTGTGCCTGCTGGCTTCTCTTCATAACCTTATTTACATAGACTCCTTTGCTCTTTACAATGTTTGGTTTGTGTAGTGACTTCAACACTGTCTTAGATCTGGAATCATACAAATGCTTTCGTGGCTTGTGGTCACCTCTGAAGGTTGCAGTATGCGGTGGGCTGAGGCGTGTGCACCAATAGGTGAGTGGCTACAGCTGGTTTTCATTTGGAGAGGGGAAAAAAAAAATGCAGGTGAAGGAGAGGCCTGATCAAAATAATCCTAACCCAATACCCAAAATTTCTTTCTGGGGGGAAAAAAGAGAGATTTGGGGTTGAAATGACACCACACCAGCAGGAGTGGGAGGACTCCCTGGAGCCTGGGGAATCTGGGAGAGAGTCTGAGTTCTCTCTGGCCAGAAAGGATGGGTTTTGAACCCTTTTAGGCACTGGCTTCTTTCCAAGGCATTTATATTCTTTCATCCTGGCTGACTGGAGGAAGGGTACCCTGGTGTGGATATGGAGTGGAATAGGGTGGGGATGTTTCAAATTCCCTGCAAGGAGAAGGAAACAGGTTGGAGCTCAGATGAATTCCCAACCTGTTCTGCCTTCTTACAGCTGCCTAGGTTGATTGGCTTGACTGTAAGAAGAGTGGAGGGATAGAAAGAAACATGTAGTAGGGGAGCTAAGGTGGGAGTGGGGGAAAGACAGGTGTAAGGCACACTAGAAATCAGAAACAGAGCCAGAATGCTCATTTGGGACCTAGACAAACAGAAGAAGCTTCATCAGAATAAAGAAACTTATTGCTCTGTGGAGTAGTGGATAGAGAGTTGGACATGGACATGGAATCAGGTAGACCTGAGTTTAAATCTTGCCTCAGATATTTGTTGGCTTTTCAATTTTGGGTAATTCACCTAACCTCTCTTAACCTCAGTTTCTTCATCTATAAAATGGAGACAATGATAGCATTTATCTCCTAGGCTCATCACAAGCAAATGAGAGAATCTGTGTAAAGTCCTCGGCATAACTTAGAGTGTTATATGCAGTTAGATATCATTATGAGTTATGGGTAGAATGGCTTATGTAAAATGGGATCAGAGTCTAGAACAGTCAATGAGGCACTGCCCTAAACATATTTAGAGCAATTTTGGAAGAATGGGGAAAAAAAGAGGGGGAAGAGACTTTAAACTCCTTTCTGTTAATTCAACTTGACAAATGTTACTCCTCTAGGGGAGGGGGATGTTACATAATATGTGTCCAGAAAAGTAAAAAAAAAATTATTTCAGAAGGGGGATAGCACTAATGATGGGAGATTAATAGGAGGTGGCATTCAAGTTAGTCCCTGAAGGAAGCTAGGAATTCTAAAACTTACAGGTGAGGAGGGAGTTTATACTATTCATGGAGGACAGCCCATGCAAAGACATGGAAGCTAGAGATGGGGAATACCAAGCAGGCTAATTTGTTGGAATGTAGAGTGTGTGAAAGAGACTAATTGAAATAAGCCTGGGAAGGTATACTGAAGTCAGGTTGTGTGAGGTCTTAGTTAAACAGAGGATTTTTATATTTTAACATAGAGGTAATAGGGAACTACTGAAGATTCTTGAGGAAGGGAGTGACATGATCAGATTTGTACTCTAGGAAGATTATTTTGCCTCCAGTGTGGAGGATGGCTTAGAGGGGGAAGAGATTGGAAGCAGTAAGACCCATTAGTAGTCTATTGTAGCAAGACTGGTCAGAGAAGATGATATGAACTACGGTAGCTGTGTCACTGGAGATGGACACATTCAGATGCTTGTGAGAAATGCTGTAGAAGAAGATTTGATAAGACTTGACAACTCTTTAGATAATAGGAGTTGAAGAGGGTGAAGTGTTAGGAAGCGTTCCAATGTTGTGAATGTGGGTGACTTAAAGGATTACCGAGAAAAGGAAGTTGGGAGGAAGGGGAACTCTTCCTTCAAGGGGAAGGATGATGAGTTTCATTTTGGGCATG